AGTTGGCCCTAGGTCTCACTATGTATTGTGATGATAGATCATCAATGATAACAAGGGGAGTATCTGTTATTACATTGAATCTATAATTAATTAAAAAAAACTAGAAATTCTAGATCTAAAATTTCATTTGGCATTTTAAGTAAGAAAGGAACAAAAAACAATCAATTTTCTTCCCTTTTAGTTTAGTAAACAAAATATTGCCTTTAGATGTGTAATTCTATAATCTTTAAGTTGACGGTAAATAAAATTTAAAGATTCTGCTAAAAAAAAGAGAGCTCATATTTCTACTGGTGATGATATGATGAATCACATTTGACATATGAAAAAAATCAAATCAACAAGTGAGAGATATATGTGTTGAAAAAAAACATAATTGATCTTTGTAATTTTAACAAGTACCGTGGCTAGGATTAATAGAAATGACAGGACTCTCCACCTTGTTCTCTACCTCCACCTCAACTTTTTTATGAAAATTTTGATGACAATGCCAAGCAGCACAGATGAAGAATTCAAGGGTTTCAGGGGCACCAGTTGGACAAAATTCACCATAACCATCAAGTACATAACCATTAGATCTAGCCGCATAGTTATGCCTACACTCAAGATATTTCACAAGAAAATGCTTGTTGTTGTTAGAAGCCATAAGAAAGAGATCAATTAATTGAAGGAGAATTAGCTAGAAAACTAGTCTAGCGGTGAAGGAAAATAGACAAAATGGTTAGTAGATAATATAGATGGGAGGAAGATTGAGGTGTTTGCTAACTAGGGATGCATTGCATGATCAAATGTCATTTACTTTCTGTTTCGGCATTATCAAGTACTTGTTTAGTAAATTCATATATGAAATTAATTCGATCATAGTATTTATAAGACTGGTTAGAAACTATTTTGTTAACGGAATTAATTAATAAAAATTATTTTCTATGTTCATGAGTTGGCATCCAAATTCACATAAAATAGGGCTGATTCTTTTCCTATTTTATCTCTTCGCACAACATAATATACCATTAAAAACATACATATAATTAAGAAATGCTCAATAAAAAAATAGTGACCTTCTTCCAATGCAATTGGTGGGCGTTGTTTTAACGTATGTTATTTTAAAAATGTATATATAATATTTTAATGTATAAAACTTAAAAAGTATAAATATATATAAAATTTATATATAATTTTATACTTCTTATTTAGCCTTTAAAAACGGACAATTTATTTTTAACCTATTATATTCTCAATTAATATTTTTTTAAAAAAAGTAAAAATTTCTTGAAAATCTTAATCTTTTAAGAGATAAGTACTAAAAAACACACCTAACCTATCCCCTTTTTTGAGTGTCATACCTAAACTATCGAGAATATGAGTTTCATACCTAAACTATCACTTATTAATTTGAGAAACACACATCTCTATTTTATAATACTCTCATGATGGTGTGTAATACACCCTCCCTTTTATCACCCCACCTCTTCTTTCAAATATTAATTTAGAGATTTTTTTTTATTTTTGTAAAAATAATTCTACTCGTTTCACCTAACCCTACGTTTTCAAATTTTTTTCTCGTTTTGTGTCAGATATATACATATAAAAAATATTTTTACTTGTTACCGCAAAAATTTTCTTATAACAATTTTTTATTTATGATATATTTGATACACAAGTAGAAAAAAAACTCCTAAAAATATATGTACATACCTAACACAAAATGAGAAAAATGTAAAATAAAATAAAAACTAGGAGTGTAGGTTTCAATATGATATGGTAGAATTTTTTTTAAAAAAATAAAATAATATCAACTTATTTAGGTTTTGAATGGATATTTTTATTTTTTTTGGTGGGTGGGGGAAGAGGGGGGAGCCGGATGTATGATTTTTTTCAAAAAAATATTTCATAAAAAAAAAAAGGGAGATGGTGAAGTGGGGTAAGAAAAATAATTAAATTTTTTTTTTAAAAACCTTTCTTCCTTTGGGGCGGTTGTAGTACTTCAATCTTTAATTTTTTAATTAATATCAATAGTTTATTGTATAATAATGTGAAAGTAGAATATTTTTATGCATGTTAAATGTCATGTGTCAAGGTTTATCAAATGAAAGAGAGAGTATGCTACACAACACAGTGAGGTGTGTTTTCCAAACTAAGAAATGATAATTTGACTATGAAATTCAGACTCTCCATAGTTTAGGTATGAAGTAAAAAAAATTGGCGTGTTTTATCTTAATTTTTAATTTATCCACTTTATAATTAATAGAGATAAAATGATAAATTCATTGTATTAATCATAATTTTTTTTCTAGGTTTGTTTATTAAAAAAAACAAATAATTGCGGACGGAAATTCATAACAAAATACTTGTGGTTAGAAGCCATGAGAAAGAAAATAATTAATTAAAGGAGATTTATTAGTTAGGAAACAAGTCTAGCTGCGAAGGAAAAAGGCAAAAGAATGAGTAAATATAATATAGATGGGGAGCAAGGTTGAGGTATCTGCTTACTATGACTGCTTGACATGGATCAAATATCATTTGAAAATAATTAATGAATTTTTATAGATCAAAATAACTTTGAGTTTTATATATATTTGGATATTAATTGATGAATATTTATTGGTCAGCTTAACTTGAATTTTAAATATCTTCAACTTTATTAAAGTTAAATATAATATGTGTGATCACTAAAATCTAAAAGGGTCAAGTTTAAAATCAGATATTAGGTCTAATATACGCCTCAAAAGTTAACTCAAAGGGAGAAGGATTGTCCAACTCTCGTAAGGAGTTCATCCATCTCACTAATCATCGATGTGAGATTTTTGTCATTCTTTAACATTAAGACATGAAATTTTTTTAAAATTAAAATCAAATTTTTAACGACACATCTTAATTTAACTTAAATCTCATTATCAATTAAAAATAATTCGAGAAATTATCATTAAGCTTATTTTATGCACTCTGTACGCTTCTTGTGATGATGTGCACCTAGCGTGATTAAACACATAAAACCCTTTTTGAAGCGGCATTGACCAATAGAAATTGGTCACGCGTCACTAAAATTCCCATGTAAAATGATAGCACATATCATTTTTAATTGATTTGACAATTAAATATTTTACATAATTTTTGACATTGAAACTTGTATATATTTAATCATTTTCATTTCTTTCTTTATAAATTATTATTTCCTTCCTCACTTTAATTTTTTTTCACTTTTATTAATTTTTTTTCTTCTGACCTTCAATTATTTTTTTAAAAAAATTACGTGTATATTTTTTTAAAAAAATATTTTTTTAAAATATGTACTTTAATTTTAATGTTCTTTAATATTTTATTTGACCTTTTCACCTTTTCGAATCTTGAAATTGATTTATTATAAACACAAAACATTTTAATCAAATTAAATGAAAGACAAAGAACAATAATAAATCAACAAAAAAAGGAGAAAATAATGAATGAATATAAAAAGGTGGAAAAAAGGTTCAAACACAAGATAACTTTTTTTAATTAAATTGTTATGTTGTTAACTTACTTGCTTGAAATAAAAGAATGAAAACATTTTTTAAATACTATGTTTAAAAGTAAAATAAATATTTACATACATGCCTTCCTTTTTTTAAAAAAAAAAATGAAAAATGCTAGGCTATTGAAACTGCTTTCATAAAGCAAATATCGTAGAAATATACAAAATTGCAAAGCTGTAATTTTCAAAATAATCACGATGTAGGTTGTCATCATACATAAATGATATGTCTCTGCTATATTTTTAGTAAAAACAAATTTGATTCTCTTCCACTCAATTGTATTTTTTGGTGAAGTATAAATTATCTAAATTATAATTAGAATTCATTAATCGATTAAATTTAGTCATTAATTTTTCTGTATGTCATGTATTTTTAATTAAATAAGGTTAACAACAATGAAAAAAATTCGAATTCACAAAATTTAAATCTCAGAATGTTCTTAAAACATAATAATCAATAATATTTGATATTTTAAATTCATTTACCAATTTAAATATCTTAAGAAAACAATACAATAGCTAGTTAACATATAGCCAATCAAATAAAAATGTTTTCTTTCTTCAAGTATCTTTATATTTCTAAAATAATGATAATAAATCTTTGCAATAGTTACATCAATTTATAGACGTTTAAATATATTTTTAAAACTAAAATTGATAAATCTTAACTTACATCAACAATGTTTCAAGAAATATAGAGTTAAAACAAAAAATTTCCTTATTATTGTTTGTTAATTGTGAATAGAAAGAAGATAATTAGTGTGAGATACCATTTATGATTATTATTTTTCTACTTTCCTCTAAGCATCATTTTACTGAATTTAAGAAGCTTATTTAATAAATAAATATTTTAAAAATAATTAACTTATCAAAAAATTTAGAAAATGTTTTTCTCCTTTTATCAATTTCAATGAAAAATCTTAAACTTAATGTGAAAGGTATAATTTTCAGACCGTTTTTAATGAAAAAATGACGGAAATCACATATTTAGGTTCTCTTGTTACCATTATCCCCTATCAGTTTTATAAATTTTGCAAAATCTCTCATTTTCGCGCATCAGATTAATGTATCATTGCATTAAATTTATGTATCTTGCGCATTAAATTAATGTATAATCGCATTAGATTAATATCTCGCAGATTAGTTTATCATGTATAAAATGTAATGTATCTTACTGAACATCGACTTGTGGAACAATCATCAATATACACGAAAATTCAAATTGAAACTGTATCTCGCGTATCAGATTAATGTATAGCGCTTATATTATTACATCAATTTGAGAGATTTCTATAATTATAAACTTATAAGGGACAAATGATAATTTTATGTTAAAAATATGTGATTTCTGTCATTTGCCCCTTTTTAATTTCCACATTGTAAATTGCAATTCACTCTATTTTTTTTATATAAAAAAGAAAAAATTAAAATTAAAAGCAAAAGAGGCATGAATATTTTTTTTAAAAATTAAATTTAAAAGTAGAGGCGTAAATACTTTACTTTCCAGTGAAGTGTACCTAGTGCATTGGAGAAGTAACAAAAAAAAAATGGCTTCGGAATCATCGTCGGCGGTATCCCCGATGACGGTGGAAGAGTTGACGCTGGCGGTGAAATGGAGCGGTAAAGAGCACACGGTCAGAGTCTGCGGCGATGACACCGTCGGCGAGTTGAAACGACGGATATGTGAAGTCACAAATGTTTTACCTAAACGCCAGAAGCTTCTATACCCAAAAGTTGGTGCAAAACTCGCTGATGATTCTCTTCTTCTATCTCAAATTCCTCTCAAATCCTCCTTCAAAATGACTATGATCGGGTGAGCTTTTCCCTCCTTTTTTTTTCTCCCCAAAGTCGGGTCCGAATGTACTGAATTGGATGTACAGTTTTCGTATAGATTGACGATGCTGATTAATTTGGGATTGAGATTTAGTTGTATGATTAATTACAATCTCTTATGTGTTTTTTTTAAATTTTTTAGTATATATACTATTTAATGACTGTTGAAGGTCTTGGGTATGCTTAGGCAGATTAGAGAAAATCGTAACTGACTTTTTAATCTCATTTAAAGCATGTGCAGAGACTTATATGCTGATTGTCAAATTGTATAATTTTAAATATGAGTAGTAACTTATAAGCATGTCCTCATTTTAATTGTTGTTACCAACAGCCTGAATTGGTGAAAAGTTTCTTTTGTTGTTAAATTTGTAGCCAAGATAATAAGGTAGTTTGAATCAATCAACAAGTCTGGATATGAAAAATGAAATAAAATAAGATCTCATCAATCAGAATAATTCTTAACTACTTTGGGTAGAGGATGTATCAAGTAGAGAGAAAGATCTCCTTTTTCTTGTTATTTTCCTCACCGAGCAAATTGCATGATAGGTATCAGTTGTATATGATATAAATGTAACTTCTTTTTTCCCAAAACCAGATGGTACCTGGCATTTTTGCATCTAAATGAATCACTATAGCATATGAACATGTGACACCGTGTCGTACCATTATTTTTAAGTCGATGCTGCATGCATTAATGCATTTGACATTAGAAAAAGATAAACCTGTGGCAGTTATTGGCGAGTACTGAATGGCCAAGTAGGTGTACCATGTATTTAGCAATAGTCGAATCCTCAAAAGGATATTGACAGTTATGTTTATCGCAACATCCAAGCTAAGAGTCATCCTCGACCTATTTAAGAAAAGAAAAGAGAAAACCTAAAGAAAACATTCACGTTAATGATCCACAAACCAATTTGAACAATTTTCGGCTACACCCAGGAAAACACCCAGGAAACCCTTCGGCGAAGCTGTACAATTGCAGATTTCGCTGGACACCAAAATAGACTGTTATTTTCTTCTGTTTGTGTTCCTTTAATGTAAGTGTTCCATAAATGTTATGTTCACAGGTTAATTTTCCGGCCTCACACCATGTTTGATTGCCTATGATAAGTTGTTGATACTCTCAATATAAAAGGTGAATTATTGATCTTGTGCATGTTTGATGTAAGGTGTTCGGCTATAGGGATGAGAACATTTTCCGTTTGTTGTCCCATCTGATTTCTTTTAGTTGGATGAGAAGAATATCACTTTAGGCTCTTTAGATGCAACTCTCTTTAGGTATTTAGAGAGGGGAAGTCTCTTCATAAAGGAATACCTTTTCCGATGCAGGATATTTAAGGAGGAGGCTGAGATGACAGGCTTTTCTTTCAAGCCTTCTTTAATATGCTTATCTTGTTACAAAAGATTATGTGCAATTAAATCCAACTTTTTTTGGTGGTTTGGTATGAGAGCGTGCTTTTGCATCTTATTCTGAAGGAAGTTCACACTATCTTTTTTCTGGTCAAATTATGCTAATAGAATCATGGGTGCTATATAATATAGATCAAATTGCTGATCACTTAAGGTAAGATCTGGTAGCACCAAGTCTAACCTTCTCTTTTTTACCATAAGGTTTGGCAGTACAGCTAAGAAATACATGATTGTTAGATGGAGAGAATAATAATATGGAGATTGTAATTGTAAAGAATCACAATATGAAATGTTCAAAAGAAGAAGAAAAGAATCACAATATGAAACTATAAAGTAGAAAGGATTCACAGTATGGGACATTCATATTGTGCTTGATGTCCAGGCTATTTGCATGGATTGGAACCGAACTTGAACGTTTGTGCCACTAATGCCCTAGGTCTTGATATATCAAATTACTTACTCATTTATTAAAAAAGATACTACATCAAAAATGGTGAAATCATTCTTAAAACCAATCCTTTATATCATTTTATGTAAAATAAGCACAAAATTCTGTATTTCAATCAGTAGTATCGATATAATAAATTTAAAGAAAAACCATTTAATTTGCATGTGGCCTATAAGTGGGTTAAATTACTTTCCTACATCAGTCTAGATTATTATCTTTTGCAATGTACCAAGAGATAACTATTGTCATTAATTTCTTAATATGGTTGATTCTAATCCATTTATTGTCAAAAATCACCTCCAGCTGATATTGGATAATGCAACCATATGGCCAATTTGAAACATGACATCTAATGCAGGGTTTAGTTGACATACCAAATGTTGGCTAGCAATCTCAGTTTTTTTTGTTGATATTTTCTAGATAATTTGTTTGATGTTATGTTCTTGGTGATGCTTGAAATATGAAAATTACATCCTTTATTTTTCTTCAATTTATAATTGCATTCCCTCTCTTTCTCTCCTCTTCCTTTTATCCTTAGGGATAAGTTATTATGTGTGTCGTATGTGCATTGTTGCTTGAGTTTATAACATTTGAATTATGAGAAGAGTTCATTTATGATAAAGTAGTAGAGTAGTAGATTTTCATTACTGTATCCACAAGTCTTCTTTAAAGTTCTTGTTGCTACGATATAGTGCAACTGAGCTTATTGAAGAAAAAACTACTAACTATCAGTCTTTAATTAGGGGTAATGAGTACAAAAACAACATACCCAGTATAGAAATGAGTAACCGTTCAACTTTTTAGGGGTTAAATGAGTATTATTTTGATTTGCAGGACAGTTGAAGATGATATAATTGTGGATCAAGTAGAATCTCCAGATATCATTGATGATTTTGAGATTGAGCAAGATGAAGCTGTAGATATAAAGGATAAAGAAATCAACAAAGAGAAGTTGAGAAGGCGCATTGCACAGCACAAGGTTTTTTCCCTTAACACTTCCCTATTCTTATAATGAAAATTGGATGCCCATGAAACTTGTGAACCTTTTAGGCTGATACATGTCATACTATTATTTGTTTTTACTTGTATGCGTCATTGGAAAACTAATTGAACACATCTATGGAGACGATCATTCTTTTTTATGCACAGAAAGAATGATGGTTGGATTTGGAAATAGAGGAAGTCTTTCTACAATATGAAAGAAGAATAACGTTAACAAAAGTTTATAATTCGGAATTATATTCCATTAAAATCCAGGATCTTTTTATATTACCATCTTGGATATTTTTTTTGAGGACACCATCTTGGATAATGAAGTGAGGAAATTTGTTTTATTCAAAGAAAACAAAAAATTTGGGTTTGGAGTGATTTACAATTTTGATCAAGTTTAGATTTTTTTGCCTTTTGTTTTGTAAACCAGGAAATCCACTGTTCTCAAATTTTAAAGTCCGTGTATAAGTGCCATCCCTCTACCCATTTCCACCTCAACAACAGACTCAGTTCAACGAATGATTCAAACTCGACGCACACCTACCATGTATATCTAATAGTTGAGAAACGATTCAGGAAATATTTTTACTTGGAAGTGATGGAACTTTTTGGGACTTGAGGTTTAGGAGGAATTTTTAGGACTGGGAGGTGACTGAGCTCCAACGATTGCTACAGTTACTTAAAAAGCAATGTGCGCCAGTCAACAGATCCAATGCTTTGAGTTGGGAGTTGAGGAATAACAATATGTTTCCGGTTAAGTCCTTCTATGCGAAGTTCTTTGGTTAGGATAGATGATAACTTTCCATATGCATCAGTTTGGATACGTAAGGTGCCGAGGGACGTATGCTTTTTCACGTTACTAGAAGGGTGATTTTGATGGCGGAGAATCTTAGGAACAAAAGGTTCTTTGCTTGAGCTGGTGTTTCCTTTGTTAGGATACGGGTGAGAACATGGAGCATATTTTATTACATTGCGAATTAGCCACGGGGTGATCGGAGAATACTTTTAGACGGTTCGATGTTTCTTGGGTAATGCCAAGATCCGTGAATGAATTGATGTTCATTCGGAAGAGTGGAGCTAGGAGAAGAAGGCACAAGGCTTGAAATGCTGCTACTCTTCCTTTAATGTGGGTCATTTGGAAAGAGAGATTGGGTGTCTTTGGAGGGAACCATTTTTTGTAGGTTTCTCCTCTTGTTGGTATTCCACTTGTAAATGGCCAAGTTACCTTGACATTATCAATGAAGCTTTGACTTGATCAAAAAATTAAGTGATCATCATATATTCTTCAATGTCACTCTTTGGACTGAAAATAATGAGGATATTGTGTGGCTTGCTTCATTTGCCTCTATTTGGTATATTTAAATGATGGGAACTTCTGCTTCTCAACAATATAATGTTTTGAGTTGTTACATAGCTAGACTAATTTATTATTATCACTTTCATATTTCAAAATACTTTCTGATGTTATTCTGTTTTGGTTCTTTTTTTTTCCCTCGGGTGAGGGGCTGGTGGGAGTTGGAAGGAGCAGAGAGTGAGTACATTAATGGGGTGATCCATGGAAGTAGAGAGGAAGTGCAAATAAATCCACATGATGGGGTGTGGGAATTGAAATGGGAGGGATTTCATATTTGGTTGCTGGGAGGTTTTGGGTGGAGTGGGTGTAGGGAAGATGATGGAAGGAGTTAGAGAGACAGACTTTATCAACATACAAAATGACTTGTAAAAGAATTAGAGGACCTGGCTGTGGCTATTCTTTCTGATTAGATGGGGATATTGCTTTAATTTGTTATTGGGTTACTTTAATTTTTACTATCAGCCCTGCTTCACCCGAAAAAAAGAAAAGAAAAGAACCAAAACAAAATAACACCAAAAAGTATTTTGACTATTCATTATTGGTGCACAGATTCTTAACTATTTTTCTAAAAATAGCCAAGTTGCTTTTTTGGTAAGATGTGGCTATTGGTGTATTCAACTATAACTAGTTATAGTTATTTAAAATGACATCCAGTATATTTTCTCAATAATAAACAGCTGATATGTGTGGCTTAAAATACACATGATGTGTGACTTGCCCTTTTATGATGATCATATTGGTGATTATTCAGATTGTGCTCCGTAATCCTTGTCGTGAAGGTAAAAAGCTGCTTGTTCTGGATATTGATTATACTTTGTTTGATCACCGGTCAACTGCAGAGAACCCACTCGAACTCATGAGGCCATGTAAGTGTCTTGTTTGTCCATTTTTCCAGTTATCCTTAGCTTGTTTTGTGCTTAATTTTGTCAATTACTGCATGCAGATCTTCATGAGTTTCTCTCGGCTGCTTATGCAGCATATGACATCATGATATGGTCAGCAACCAGGTGAGTATTTACTTTTAGGGCCATTGATAACTCTGATGTGTTTGAAAGTCATAATATTTTTTGGGAAAGAGGTTTGTGATCTATATGCATTGCCTTGCTCATTTTCTTTTTGCAGCATGAAGTGGGTTGAGGTGAAAATGAAACAACTTGGTGTACTCGATAATCCAAACTACAAAATTACAGCTATGCTGGACCATATGGCCATGATAACAGTACAATCGGATCATTATGGAGTTTTCGACTGCAAGCCTTTAGGCCTAATTTGGGCTCATTTTCCAGAGGTTGGCTTTTAAAAAAAATTTAGTTGCTTCTTCTTCAATGAATTAATGGCATTAAACATTATGGTTACGTCGATATTCTGAATAAGTGTCTGAAAGATGGTAATTTGGCACACTAACATGTAATCTTGATTATTGTGCAGTTTTACAGTCCCAAAAATACTATAATGTTTGATGACCTACGAAGGAACTTTGTGATGAACCCTCAAAATGGGTTGCCTATAAAGCCATTCAGAAAGGCACACGCTAATCGGAGCAGTGATGACGAGCTAATGAAGCTCACTCAATATTTGTTTGCCATTTCAGATCTTGATGACTTGAGCCTTCTTGATCATAAAAGATGGGAGTCCTTCGATGGAGTCAGTTTTAAAAAACACTGATATTCCTAAGCGTCTGCAACTCCTTCCGAAGTCAACAGAAAAATGATTTGCGTTGGACAATCAAAGAAATGTATCCATTCCGTTCGTCTACTAGGAGATAACTAATATTTCTGATGTGTACTTCTAATTATTAGGCAGAAGGGTCTATATTTAGCTGAATTCATTTTGTATTTGGATGATTATGGATTTTTGTGTATCATTAAGTTACTTGTTCTATTAGTCATGGTTGTTCACATTATTGTCTGATTCAATGCTCAAAACCAGACTTCTTATTTGTCTTTGACGCATTTCATCTTTCATATTCCAGCTTAGTGCAAAAAATGGGTAAGTGGGATATTTGGTCCTTCAGTTATTGCTAAATTCTGATTTTAGTCCTTGTGATATATTTAGCACATTTCACTCCAATTAATTGATATGTGCATATTTGATGCTCGTGAATATTCACAAATTTAACGTAGTTGTTCATGTGTTTTATTAAACTTGTGCTCCTAGTTCATATTAAACGGTAATATAGTTCAAAGAAGACTTCGAGTCTAACAAAGACACGAGGGTAAAAAATTAAAATTTATCAATAATTGAGGAACCAAACTGCTATTGTCCCTAAATAAATGTAAATGCATTCTGTAAGTTTGTAGTTTTGCTTTTCCATATACTTCCATTTGAAGAAATGAAGTACGAATATAGCTACATGAGCTTTCATTTGATTATGATATAAAATAGATTATTCTGGAAAGTTTGCTTTGTTACAGACTGGAATTTTATAACATTATTTAAATAGTTTAAAAGACATGCGAGGTGTACGTAGCTTAGTTGGAGAGTTGTCCACATTCTCACCCTGATATGAAGGGTTTAAATCTCACTGTATTCTTACGTAAATACATAAAAATCCTTAAATTATGAATCTATAAATATATGATTCTCACGTAACAATCCATATACTATAATCATTCATCTCGTTAAACCAATTATCATTTGTCACATATTATGAATATGATAAATGACACAAAAATGGAAAGCAGTAACCTATTTTGTACAATTAGAGATTAATTCGTAACATAATATTCAAACGTCACCCTATAGATACGCATTCTTAGTACTAAGTCATATAGTCTTAATTATTTTTTGAACAAATAAAAACCATCTCCTTAAATTCATTCTCATTTTATTTATTACTAAATCCAGTGTATTATCTTCCTCTCTCATTTTGGCAGTTCTAACAAAATCTTTGAGTTTTATGAATGTATAAATCACCACCGAATTCATTTATTTATTTATTTTCAAAAAATAATCAAAGATCAATGGCTAATTTTGGTCTAATCTTAGTGTTAGACCTCATATTTCTTATTTATCCAGTTGTTTGTGAGTATTTTTCTGTTTTTTTTTCTTATATAATTTTTTTTGTGTTTGAGATTTTGTGATGATTAATTTTAGTTATGATGCAGATGGCTATGATCCAATGGACCCAATGGGTAATATTACTATCCGATGGGATGTGACTACTAGCACTGAGAATAATCATCACGTAAGTTTTCCTTTTCGTTACAATTAAAACAAACAATAGTATAACAGAAAATTAATAAAAAATACAAGGTTAACAATCCGATTCAGAGTCAGTAGCATGATAAGACGACTTCACAGTCCTCTGAATTGTTCATTATATTAGGATAAGTATTGTTTATGATGTGGTAGAGGGCCTGGATCATTATCCACTGTGCTGTGTTTTTTGTCATCATTTCTGATTGTTATCATTTTTTTACTGTTATTATAGTAATGGTGGTGGTTGTGTGATTTTGGGTAGATGCGGGTTCTATTTTTTTTTTGAAAACTTTTGCTGATCAAAAAGGGATTGTAAAATAATTGAATTTTAAAAAATAACTTGAGATGAAAAAATAGTGAGTTCGTAGCTGTTAAATTTGATGTTTTTTATAAGTTCTTGTTTGGTAAAATTTGACCTAGTACAAGTATGGTTATTTCCAGATGCTATTTTTAATCCAAAGAAAGTACTATTTCCAGATGTTATACAAATACAATTGATTATCGAAGTATATTCTCCTAAAATGTTAGCAGCATTCATTGATGGAAGCTGTTCATTGACCAGACAGAATCTTTGTTATAAGAAAATTATCTTCCACTTTTATGTATCATATCGTTCTGTATGTCTATCTCAGATTAGAGTTTCCATCTTCAACTATCAACTTTTCCGCCACGTAGAGCAACCTGGTTGGAAGTTGAGCTGGGATTGGCATGGTAAGGAAGTAATATGGCAAATGTGGGGTGCTGAAACTACAGAACAAGGTGATTGTTCTGCAATCAAAGGAGACACCCTGCCACATTGTTGTCTGAAAGAGCCTGTGATTCTTGATCTCCTTCCTGGAGCTCCGTATAATAAGCAGGTCGCAAATTGCTGCAAGGGAGGAGTGTTGACATCCTTGACTCAGGACCCTGAAAAATATGTCTCTTCTTTTGAGATGATCATTGCAAGTGCATCAAATGATGGATCCGGGCCTCGTATGCCTGAAAACTTCACACTTGGGATTCCTGGATATACGTGTGGTGTTGCCGTGAAAGTCCCTCCAACCAAGTTCCATGAGGATCAAGGACGGCGACAGACTCAAGCTGTTGGTAAGTAAAATAGCTCCTACTCATCCTATAGGATGATCATTCTGTAACTTTCAATTTTTTGTAATGGTTGCAGCTACGTGGGACGTGATTTGTTCTTACTCCCAGTTTAGAGCATCATCTTCTCCAGCATGTTGTGTTTCCTTGTCTGCTTTCTACAGCGAAACAATTGTGCCCTGCTCCGTATGCAGTTGTGGTTGTCAGGGACAGCGCGGTGCAGCTCAATGTGTGAAGTAAATATCTTACTCTTTAGCCTCAGTGTTTGTACATTATTTAGTCAACTAGTTCCAGGCAGATCGGAGGTAATAGTATATAATATGTTAGCAATTGAGGTTGTTTCCTAGAATCCTAAGGTTGAAATCCTGACTCCGCCTCTGGTTTTTGTTTCCACCAAAACATCTGTCCGAGTAACAAGTCATATTAAACTAGATTGTTATATCTTGTTCATCTAACATGTCTTGTGTCTGGAACTACAGGCGCGGTGAGGTGCCACCAGTTTTACAACTAGGCCATAACGAACTGCCAACGCCAATACTAGAGTGTACACGTCACATGTGCCCAATTCAGGTGCATTGGCATGTAAAGCAGAGTTATAGAGAATATTGGAGGGTGAAGATGACTATTAGAAACTTAAACCTAGTTAGAAACTACAGCCAGTGGAACTTGGTGGTCCTGCACCCAAATTTGAGAAGCATAACGCAGGTTTTCAGCTTCGACTACAAGCCCCTTGATCAGTATGGTGATATAAGTAAGTTATACCCAATTCATTTCTTTCACAACACAAACTCAGCTGGAGTCGGCTATATGAATCTTCTAAATCGATTCTTTTTTTTTTTTTTTTTGGGTGCAGACGACACAGGGATGTTTTATGGGATTAAGTATTACAATGACATGTTGCTACAAGCAGGAAGGAGTGGGGTTGTGCAAAGTGAGTTGTTACTGCATAAAGATGCAGGGATTTTCACATTTAATGAAGGATGGATGTTTCCAAGAAAGATTTCATTCAATGGTTATGAGTGTGTTTTGCCTTCACCTGATAAATATCCAATGCTTCCAAATATTAGTCAATTTTTGGCTCCTCCAATACTTATCATCATTGTTTTCTCCTTTTGTTTGATATTAACAATATTTTAATGAAGTGTTAATAGTTTCTTACAAGAGGTCTTCGAAGTATAGATGCAAGTATGATATTTTCACAAGATTGTCTTACCAAATCTTAAAAGGACTCTCTCATTCAATATTTTACTTAATACAGTTGTACACCAATATTTCAAATAAATCCAATTTGTTAAGTTGTATTTGGATGGTTATACTTGGTAGGTTTCAAAAAAAGACAAACACATTCCACTAAGCATGACATAGACGATCTGACCCATCTGTTAGTAAACTTGGAAAGTTACAATTACTCTATTTTTCTATATTATTATTTCTTTCACTTGCATACCAAAACTTTTTGCATATTTTTGACCAAACCTCCTAAAAGCATTTGATTTTCTTTCCTATTCAAATTAGGAATACTAATTATAATTTCCCCCAGAACACGTATATATACATATATATTCATTCTTCTCAGGACTCTACATCGAATCAAGGCTATGGCAGACGAAGACCAAAGCAAGAAGGGAGAAGAAGATCAAAGGAAGAAGAAAACAAACAATTCCAAATCTTATCAAGTGAGGAAAGAATGCATAAAGAGGAAATCAATGGAGCTTGCAACTCTCTGCGATATCAAGGTTTGTACGGTTATTACTGGTCCTAATAGGGAATTGCAAACTTGGCCTGACAATTTGAATGCCTGTAAGGAAGTTCTTGATATCTACTCTCAAAATTTGAAACCCGAAAAGAAACACAAGCAAGAAGACAAAGATCTCCCGACGCTAGTTGAATCAAAGCTTGCAGCAGTCAACAGGAGAATTTGTTTCTTGGAGAACAAGAATGTTGCTGATAAGGGAAAAGGAAAGAGAATTGAATGATTTATTTGTATGGATTCAAAGATTGAAATTTTGTTTTTTTTCTAGTTAGTTCGAGGATTTACAGCAATAGGAATATAACCCATATTTTATCCTTTTATTCTTGTGTATGTATTGAATTGAATGGTGGATTAATCCCTCTACTAGAATGCAAAACCCATATGATTTTAATTAAAATGCAATACTTACATGAAATGTCACATATTAGGTAGTATGGGGATAGGGTTTGCTAGGCCTAACTTAATATCCATAAGAATGTTTTTATTGCACTAAGAAGAAACAAGGAATAAGCAGAAAAGAGCTCCTCCATCAATACTTACATTACATGGTTCATGAAGATGAAATTAGAGGGAAATCAGAAGCTGGAAAATGTTACACTGATGAATTTAAACATTCCGAACATACAAAGACATGAGACATCATGCTGGATTTAACCACCTCAGGTGAGTCAACTGCGACAAATGCTTTTCTTAAGCATTGACCACCAGGTGCACTTAAAAGCTTAACAAATCTTGATGTAAAAGACACATGTTTTGTAACAAGAACTAGAATCAATTTAGACAGAAGGAGACAAACCCGTTGGAGGTGAGCACACGGGAAGCAAGACCTCTCTTCTTGATATCGCACAATGGAAATAGTGAACTTTTGTCACTCCATGGCAAAGTCAACTGAGGGACAGTCAGTAAGACATGATTAAAGGCATAGCTACACTTACGGTCAAATGTGGAGTTGTCCTGAAACAGCATCAAGCTCAGCCTCTTTTTGTTTCAGAGTGAGGTTTGCAAATTGTTGATCGAGATCCCTACTAGTGCTGCGACGATGGCTGTGAGATGGCTTCTGTTGCTGTGGCTGTGGCTGTTGATGTTGTTGCTGATACAATGCTCGTAATCTTCCTCTTTCTCTTTCCAGAACTTCATGTTCCACTGCATATAAATTTATTAGTTGCAGATTTCAATGAAACAAATTAAAATAAACGACTAGCTATATATACGTTCAACTTCTCCGAAACACCACCTATCTGACAAAACAGCTAATGCACGCAGAAGATACAACAATGTTGACTTGCTAGAAATTGATGGTGAATCCATAAGGAATCCGGCTGATATAAAAAAGGAGATCATCTCTTTTTATCAGAACCTTTATGCAGAGACAGAAGATTGGAGACCCCATAATAACATGAGAGTTTGTCCCACCATCTCCACAGAAGATAATCTGATGCTACAAAGTCCATTTGAAGAGCAAGAGATATGGTCCAGTGTCCAAGCGTGTGCTGGTGATAAAGTACCTGGCCCAGATGGTTTCACAATGGCCTTTTTCAAACACTGTTGGGAAGTAGTGAACACTGAGGTCATTGCTACTATTCAAAACTTCCATGAAAGAGACATATTTGAAAGAAGCTTCAATGCTACATATGTTGCGTTGCTCCCCAAGAAGGTGGGAGCTAATGAATTGAAAGATTTCAGGCCTATTAGTCTTATAGGCAGCATCTACAAGATCATCTCAAAATTGTTGACTGAGAGACTCAAAAAAGTGATGCACAAGCTGGTGGATGAGTAACAAATGGCCTTTATATAAGGGAGACAAATCATGGATGCCATTCTTATAGCCAATGAATGTGTTGACTCAAGAATTAGAAACGAAGAACCTGGTATCCTTTGCAAACTAGATATACAAAAGGCTTTTGACCACATGAACTGGATTTTCCTATTCAGGAGTATGATGAAAATGGGGTTTGGAGAAAAATGGGCCAATTGGATATGCTATTGCATCAGCACCATCAAGTTCTCAATCCTATTTAATGGCTCACCTACTGGATTCTTCTCTTCTCAGAGACGACTAAGGCAAGGGGACCCATTGTCCCCTTTTTTATTCATCATTGCCATGGAGAGTTTAAATGATATGATGAAAACCGCCCAATCAAATAGCTGGATAACAGGCTTTAGAGTAGATTCAAGGGCCGGCAATAACCTTGAAATTGCTCATTTACAATACGCTGATGATACTTTGGTTTTCTGCAGAGCTAACCGAGGACAAATTAAATTTTTGAGGGTGATTTTCATTCTTTTTTGAGGCTATATCTGGGCTCCACATTAACTAGAACAAGAGTTTCCTATATCCCGTTTACGAGGTCCCTGACATTCACAACTTGGCTAATATTCTGGGAGGAACCAGTGTTCTGCCAACCACTTATCTTAAAATGCCCCTTGGTGCCAAAAGCAATTCCAAAAATATCCGGAATGGAGTCGTAGAGAAGTGAGAGAAAAAATTGACTAACTGGAAGAGTCAATACTTATCCTTGGGGGTAGATTAATCTTGATTAACATTTAACAGTGTGCTGGATGCATTACCAACTTACATGATGCCCATTTTTCGTGTTCCAACGAACATGGTGGATTAGATGCTCTCAGAAGAAACTTCCTCTGACAAGGCAACTGCGATACCAGGAAAATACATTTGGTCAAATGGAAGTCAGCGATCACCAGCAAAAAGTATGGTGGTATGGGAATCAAGAATGTTGGGAAGTAGGAGATCAAATAAAGTAGTTTTGATGATTGATAAAGTGAAGTCATGGTGTCGTATGTGTACAATTATGAGAGATTGGGGCAAAGAAGAAAAAGTGTAGAATTGTAAAGAAAGAAACAAATATGGAAATAAATAAATAAGGAAAGAAATGAAAAAGTAGCAATACAAGTCAAAGAAGGAAAGAAATACAGAAGTTACAATTCAAGTCAAATAAGGAATGAAGTAAATATAGACAAGTTCAAGAAGGAAAAAGATTTGTAATTCCTTTCCTTGTAGAAGTTGAAGGCAAATCATATCTATAAAAGGATCAAGAAGTTGAAGGAAAAAAGCGTCTTTGCAATCACAAAAATCGAGAGAATTTTTCCAGCAAAGCCAAAACGATAGGTATTGCATATTCACGAAATATATCATCTTGAGAGCAAAATTTTCTGGAGGAAAAACGCAGGCCTTTGTCACATAAACGCAAGGACTAGGTTCATTTTCATCACAACAACATAAGGACCAGGTTCACGAAACATGTTCCACTCAGAACTATTGGATATTAAAGTTTGATCAATTAAAGTCTAGGGTTATTAGTCTTTGTTGATTTGTTCTAGGTTTATTATTAAGTTGTCATAATTCCTAGATTTGTAACAAGAAGTGGGTTTGACTTCTTGTGAGTTGAGTCTTGAGAAAATTGTAACAAGAAATGAATTTGACTTCTTGGGAGAGAGGTTGTGAGAGTTGTAAACAAGAAGTGGGTTTGACTTCTTGGGAGAGAGGTTGTGAGAGTTGTAAATAAGAAGTGGGTTTGACTTCTTGGGTGGTTAGAGTTAAGAAGAGTTGAGAGCTTTTGTAAACAAGAAGCGAGTTTGACTTCTTGTTAAGTGGAGAGTTTTCGATTATAGTTAATCGAAAAGGATAGAAGTTTAGAGTTAGATTCATTGATTAACTGAGTTGTAAATCTTGAATTAATGTACATCTTCGGTGTGGTTTTTCCCTTCCTTGAGTTAGGAAGGTTTTCACGATAAATCTTTTCATTAAAAGACTAACATCTTGAAAAGGATCAATGGCTGCACCACCTACACCACAAGAAGGAGCTTCTCAAACTCGACCACCACCGTTTAATGGAAAGTATTATGGATGGTGGAAGATTCGCATGATGGATCATTTACTAGGAGAAAATCCAGACCTATAGGGAGTCGTGTTGGAAGGTCCAACCATACCCATGAAGAATGGAATTGATGGAACCACTCAAGTACCAAAAGATAGGAAAGAATGGAATATTGCAGATAAACTTGCAATTCAGAACAATGCTAAAGCAAAAAAGATCTTGATATGCGGAATAGGTCCAGATGAATATAATCGAATATCATCATATCAAGATGCAAAAGCAATATGGGAAACTTTCCAAACTGCGCATGAAGGAACAACTCAGTTAAAGAAGTCTAAAATTGATAACTTGAACAGACAATACGAACTGTTTCAAATGGCAGAAGGTAAACAATCCAAGAGATGCACACCAGGTTCACTGCTATCATTAATGAAATCCACTCACTAGGTGAAATAATTCCCAATGAGAAGGCAGTCAGAAAACTTTTGAGTGTTCTTCTAGAATCTAGGGAAAGCAAAGTAGAAGCCATTACTGAAGCCCGTGATCTAGATAAGTTAGCTATGGATGAACTCATCGGACATCTCATGACCTATGAACTCAAGAAAAAACAAGAAAAGGATATTGAAGGCAAAAGAAAGGAGAAGAACATGGTTCTTACAGGCACAACACCAAAAAATCTTGAGGACGAAAACATTGTGTTAATGATCAAAAGGTTCTCAAGAATGTTAAAAAAGGGACAAGTGTTCCACAGAATGAACTCTCAAAAAATCACAGAAAATCCAATAGATCAAGCATGTCACAAGTGTGGAAGTTCGGATCACTTTGTCAAGTTTTGTCCATTAAAAGCTTTAGAGAAAAAAGGAATAGTTCGTAAAAAGAAAAGGAAATCAAGAATGATAAGTACATTCCCACAAACAGAAGAATGACCAACCAAGAAGCGGATCTTTCAACGAAAAGAGCCTTTGCCGCTATGGGGGACTTATCAAAAGAAGAATTTGAGGATGGAGGGTTCGAAAATCAGTCACTATTTGCAATAGAACAATCAAATGCACTCATTGCTGAAACAGATTTTGAAGATGATGAAGAAGATGACAAACAAAGCAAGGTAAGTTTTCATCACATCAAAGTAAATATTGAATCATATTCTAAAAAGGAACTAGAGTCCTTATTGAGTACTCTTATAGATGCATATCAGTCAATCATGTTTGAAAGAGAACAAATGATGGAAAACTATGCATCTTTAAGAGAAGTCAATAACAATCTTGAGAAACACAATCACTTTCTTCAAAACAAATTAAAAGAATAGATTAAAATCTCAGAGTTAAGTAACAAGGGCAAAAACTCTGCTAGTGAACTTCAATTAGCTCTAGAAGAAACAATAAAATTGTTAACCATAAATTGTCAAGCTTTAACAGAAAGGAATATGTTGCTACAAGAAAATCTTGATCATACCAAACTGGATCTGGAACGAAATCTTAGATGGA